ACAACATAGCTGTATTATGGTAGAATACTTAACCTCCTATGAGCCTACTTGTTTCTACATAGCTTTGATCTTGATCTTTTATGGATGGTACCAGGCCCTATATGGTCACTCTTTACTATATCAGACTAATAATAGTCATAATTAGCTTAACACTATTAGTCTATTTCCATATAGATCCGTAGGTAGTTGTTATATTGAATGTCTTTTATATAGGATGAGATGCAGCAGAATAACAACGTTTGCAAGGGGCAACGTTTTTTGAATAATAAAGTATCTATAATGCGAGTGGCGAGTTTTCGTTCGACGTGGAGGCCCAAGAGGGAGGCCTTTGTCCAGCAGTGGATGTGTTCCAGCTGTTGATGATGATGATAAAAGCATCTAGGCAATACCAACATAGCTGAAAGATTCACTGATCAACAATTCTTTTTGTTTTTTTATGACATAAGCCGGTAACCGAGCAGACGGATCACCTGATGGTAAGCAATTGGCATCGCCCATGGACACCTGGAACACTAGAGGCGTTACAAGTGCGTTACCGACCTTTTGGGGATTAGGAGTTTGAGGATCGTTGGGGGATTCAGGAATTGGGGAGATTAGGGAAGGGGAGGGTAATTGGGCCTCCGGTAACCTCACTCACACGACGAAACACAACGCAAGCGTTGCTTCACGTCGGATTTCTGTGAGGCCGTGATATCACTCCGGTCGAGCCGGCTCATTCGTGCCGAAGCATGGTTCTCCCACACTTAGATTAATTGTGCACTCACATCCAAAAGACATTTTACAAGCAATTAAAGTTGCCACGCAATCCTTAGCTATCCGACGAAAAAGTTTATACTAGTCAAAAAGCACAATTCAAAATAACTCAACGGGGAACCAAACCTTATTCAGGCTGGCGGCTGATGGCGGTCGGTATGCAAACCTGGCTAATAAATGTATCGGCGCTATCTTCAAAGGCGCATCTCTTTGGTGCGCCTGCGCCGCTGCCGTTCTGCGCATGCGCGAAGTAGTGCTTGATATGCTAAACTGAAGATATCATTTGAACGGAATAGGGGTTTTGGAAATCTGAAATTGACTGAATTTTATAAAAATGGATTTAACCTCATGAACAAGCATGCAAGCATGCTGTCAACGAGGCGTAATTTCTGATTCTGTGCTTTAACTGATAATAATTTAATAATGTTCCGTTTAGGAATCGATCCCAAACACTTATATGACAGTGTGTTGACATGACAGACAAGTGAGCAAAAGATGACTTAAGATAGTTAATTGTGGTTTGCGTTTACCGACGTCATGGTTCTTAATTCCTACAGACTCCAAAATTTGTTTGCTCTAAGCTGCGGGTATCAAAATCGTCGAAAAGTAACATATGACGTCAGAATAATAATACATTTACATAACAACACGCCTTTTATCCCCGAAGGGGTAGGCAGAAGTGCACACAGAACTAACACCCACTATTCACTATTTGCCCGGCAGTCGCACTTGCGAACACTCGGCCAACGGGGCAGTCGTAGGCCGAGTGTCAATAATACATTTATTTACTAAAATTTCCCTTTATCGTTATCGTCAATAGACCATGAGGGTACACTTCTTATTAATTCTTTCAAATACTCTTACCTCATTCCAAATAGATATGACACTACTCCATTCTCACCTCTCTTGAGCACATCTTCGCATATCTCCAAATACTCCACTGCCTGTATAGCGTGGTCAGTGCGCAAACGCATATTTTATTGGTTCTCTATCGGCCATTACGTCGCGCGCTGTTTTTATGTTCATTCAATTTGATACGTTGCCACGCGACAACGCGACATCTGTCTAGTTTGACTGTAATTGTTGCTAATGAGGCATAATTAGTTATTATGGATTTTGTCTTGTTCTTTCCTGATCTTTAGGGATATCTGCTTAAGACTAATGCTTTGGAAGCCAATTTTATGCATTCTATAGACCTAGATATATAGACCTTTTTTTTAAGGGGGGAAAATCATCGAATGACTGCTCCCGCCTGGGTGAGGCGGAAGAGAGTGTCAGACTCTTACTGACTAAAAACCACCCCGTTCCTTCTCCTGCACGTCGAGCCGGAGCCCCGGTTACCCGTTAGGTTTTCCGCGACAGGTATATAGACCTAGCTTCACCTAGCTTCACTGACGGACTGACTGACAGACTAATATTTATTTTGTATTTGTTGACGTTTTTAAAATGCCAAATTGTGGTTTAATTGAAATAAATGCTTTGACTTTAGATAGGTGCATGTTTTCTTTTATTTAGAGAATTGTGAGTTAAACTGGAATGGGAATGACAACATAACTCCATTGTTCTTGTAACTATCTCAAAACCTGATTTTTATATTATTTAGATCATATTTTTATGTAATGTAATCATGATGAAGAGAATATTTTTTTTCTAAGTATATATATCTGAAAATTCACGTAATTCTTTGAATGTGCGGCATTGCAATTATGCATTTGTTATTTGAGAAGAAATTTCTTTATGTTCCTCATTTACGATTTTTCTTAGATAGTACAGGTGAACTGGGATGTCCACAGATTTTAAAGTATAAATCATAAACAAAAAAATATATATAAAAAGGAGGGATAAACAACTTAATTATAACGTAATAGCTTTTACCCGCGGCTTTGCCCGCGTATTTCTGTTTTATCCGATGGGAGCATTTAATCGGGATATAAAATCCTATCACCTAATTCAGCCCATACTCTGCCTGTATACCACATTTCATCAAAATCTGTTCAGTAGTTTCAGCGTGATTGACGGACACAAACAACCAAACATCCAAACAAAGAGACTTCACATTTATAATATAAGTGTGATTGTACATGATTGTAGTCAAAACACGTATGATGCGAAACTGGACTTAAGTCAAGAAATCATTTTTTTTTCAGAATATATTTGTAGCAATCGTAACTTTATGTTTTATTCTTTTCTCATTTATTTTTTAAGACTTAAGGGAAAGTTAAGCTGGTTTCATAAGGTATACTTACCTATTTTATCATGCTGATTACATCCTTAACTTTATATTCAGCTGTCATCTTCATAATATTAGCCACAAGACGTCCTCTGCTGAACGTATGCCGTCCCCAAATACTCGTACATACTTACGCCTAATTTATTGAAGGATTTCGACTCTCCTGTCGTCAGTGGCGCAGCTAGAACTATTTCCAAGATGCAGTAAATTCGGCAACATCCATTCACATATCGTACCGTGTTGCGTGCAACACAATACTTATGGATTTTTTTAGCTCTTTCTAGATACGATGTCTCATACGAAGTACGATAATATCATATTAAAATCTATAGCTAAATACTTATCTCAGGGTTGACGACTTGAACAAAAACTTTTGTCTCTTACCCGGGGCACCCGTGTCTGGCAGATGCTTTAATAAATCATCACACCTTCTTACTTAAAAACAAACAGGCAACGAACAACAAACTTGCCAAAAACATCTCAATTATACCACCGCCAAGTTCTTCGAAATCATACCTCACGGACGCAGCAAATCTTCATTTCTGTACTTAGTTCGTGTGTTGGTGTTTTCTCCAAAACGTCAATACATCAATGGCCACGGTTCTCTTTGCAGGGGCGTGATAGCGCGGCCCGCGTCGTAATTACAGGCGCGGGCGCCCGCGGGCCGCACCGTCACACCCCTGCCTTCGCAAATTATTTAGTAATTTTAATTTTATTTGGACTTATACCGCTTTCGTTTTGTTCTTCTTGTGTTTAGCGTTTGGCAAGTGTAGTGATGGTAATGTATCATTAAATGTGTCATTAATTTGAATCGATCGCTATCGCTCGATTAAAATAAATATGCGATGCTTTTGAATCGGCTCTCGGTGTGGTATTATGCAAGAGGATTTTCGTAAGATTCTTTACGATATCAACGAAATGAATTTGTCAGGTTTTGTGTTCTTGTCAAGGAAATATCTTCGATTTCATTCATTTTGATCGCTGTTTAGCTCAGTGTAGGTTGTCCGATGTGAAATAAAATAAGTCAAAGTTGCATAATGAATAAGTTTTATTGTTCCTTATAAATTTTCTTACAATTAGGAAGAACTTAGTTTCGCAGTGCGAGTGTCTTTTACTAGTCTAAAGAATTGCAGAATAAACTAAAAACAATTTAACTAGGTATAGTTTTAGTCAAAATAATTATAACCTATGAGATATTTTTTATTAAAATATTCTAACAGTTTATACAGAAACAGTAATTGTATAATATTTATTAACTATAACGATATAAAAATACGACTTAAATATATATCTACAGGCTTATTGGAAGAACTATATTTCATTTAATTCGACGCTCATTTTAGTTTATCTACGAAATATACAAAAATAGTTACAAATAAATAATCTTTTACATAGGAATCGTAGTACTCGCTACCTCTATGGTATACGGATTTGGACGTACAAAAAATATTTTAGGACCTCTTCACATAGCACCAATTCACATAAAATTATTTTATTTTAAATATCGTCAAAGTCTTACTACATATAACAGTCGCTGTCACAAATTGCTGCCGCTGACACTCCATACATACAAACAACAAGGCACAGACAATTTTGGAACTTCAAACGTGCATACAAGCCGTCGCGCTTTTATAATTATAATATTTTTTGTTTTTCTTTTATTTTTCTTACAAATCGTATAAATTCACTTAAAATACGTTACTCTCCTTTTAAATTTATTCACAGTGTAATAAATAATTGAAAAGTTTTAAACAAATTACAAAAATCGCTAAGGTTGCGAGCTAGTTATAAAATATATTTATATTTCTGAGTTACATCACCTTGCCTTTGCGGTACACAATCTATGCGAACGCGTAGCGTAACATCACATTCGTATTTTGTGTCTAATTTAAGTAGAACAATATCACTTTATCGCAGGACACTCTCGTACATTCCACAATACATTTGGAAGGAAATCAACTCTTTGGGCTACAGTTTAGGAAGAGTCCATTTGCTACCCCGTGTCAGTCCTATCTAGTCAATTGCTGTAACAAGTCTGCCGGACCCCGGCCAGTATTACGCTGAACTCGTCTTCGGGCCTGACGTCAGAGCCGGGCGCAGTGGGCACGTAGTTAGCGGGAGGGGCTCCAGCGATCACAGACGCGTATGGTGAGGCGTACATCCTCTCGGAGCAGTACTCGGGACCCGGTGCCTGCTCGGGGCAGTACGGGGGCCGGTAGTTCTGCTGCTGCTCGTATCTGTATTGCTGTTGCTGCTGGTGTTGGTCTAGTGGACCCTCAGCTCCGTAATCCAAGTATTTATCAAACTCCCTAGCATCCACATCAGACTCAGGCGAGCCCGTTCTAATCTCCGGACGAGGGTTCATGAAGTTCTGCTCTCCTTCTTGCTGCTGATTATTCGGCGGCTCCTCAGAGAAGTAGCTGCCGCCAGTGTCATATTCAGTTTTTGGCTGATCCGGATAATGAGACACATACGAGTCTTCTGTTTTATACATCTGTTCATATTGCTCGAAGGGATGATACTGGATGGTGTACTCCGTGGGCACGGGGCCGCTCGGAGCGTTAGAAACTCTTGGCGTTGAAGTACCAAGAGCTTGTTGGTCTTGTGAGGTTGCGACTGGTGGAAAGAACGTTCCTGTTACCAGAGGCGGCTGTTCAGTCAAAGTCCTCTGCGTGCACATGACGTACATTCCGTTAGCCATTCCCATGGCTGCGACTGGCGCTGGCGAGAAGGAACCCGGCGTTCTATAAGTTTTGTAAGGTGAGTACGAGTCAGACATTGAGGACGCATTAATCGCCCGCCTTCTCTCCTCATATTGAAAGTTTTCCTTTTCATTTTCAACTGGAGATGCATCAGGTGTGGGTAGTGGAGCTTCAGCTGGTGCGCTCCTCCTGCCTTGTGGTTCGGGAGACCGCGCTGGGGATGATTCTGGAGTTTGGACATGGCCGTTGAATTGTTGATTGTTTTGGAAGTCAGATGCGAGAGGCGAGGTTCGGTAAGGGGAGAAGCCGGCTCCGGGGTTGTGACTGAAGCGAGGGTCGGGTGAGTCCGTGCCAGCCGCATAGGGCGAGCCGAGCGCTGCGGAGGTGGCGGGTGGCGCGCTGGCTGGCGTGGAGGGCTGGTTGGGCCGAGTCTTGTTCTGCTTCCGTCGCCGAGGCCGGTACTTGTAGTTGGGGTGCTCAGTCATATGGATGACCCGGAGCCGCTCCGCTTCCTCCACGAACGGCCGCCTGTCTTGCGGTGTGAGCGAGCGCCACTTTTTACCTGGAAAATAAAAAATGAAAATGAGCCGATTGTGTTTGTCAGCGCACAATGTTGCTACACGTTTTTACTGAGCGGAGAAAATTGACGTGGCATGACTTGTCGTGCTGATATTACGATATTATTTACGAGACTTTTTATCCGCCGTGTAACAGAGAGGTTTATGCGTTTAGCGTGAAAAGCTATCACTGTTTTTCTGCAAAGTGCGTATCGGAGAGTGTTGCCATGTTTTTTATATGTTTTACGACGCGTTTGAGATTTTCTTTAGATGGCTGCTAAGATACATACGATACTTTGCTCACAATTGTCATAATATTCCGTAAAATATTGCAAAAAATATTTGCGTACAATATATCATCGTAAGACAGCTGTAACATTATACTCGATGTTTATTAGTATTACCTTTCGTATAATATGTAGATAACATCCAAGAATAATATTAGTGGCATGTTAAATAAACAAAATAGATTCAAGCAGTCACAAGTCAAGCTAAATAATCACGATAGTGTTTTATCAAATAACTATAAAACACGTACTATGAGGGCATCATAAATAACATCATATATCTTGGACGAAGAAACGTGAGGCGGTTAGAGGATTTTGAATCTTATTTTGGTTTTAGTACAGTAAAGATTGCTTCGTGGGTTATAGTGTGAGGTTCGGAGAGAAATTATCGAGGAGTCCGAACAATCTTTAAGGATATTTATCAAGGCGACACTACTTGCTACCGGCAAAACAAACAACTTCACTTTTAGTGATGCGCCGTGTCGATATAAAAAATGGTAATTTATCAACCCACAGTTTAAATACGAGGCTGATGTTTTTACGTATAATGGAATGGAATGTAGAAAATATACTTTTTACGTGCCTTTTTTATGTAGTTTTTTGTGCGATCTAAGTTATTAATTTTAGGTTATGAGTGCTTCTCAAAATATTGAGAAGCATAATCAATAGATTGTTGTTTTTGCAAAACGCCTACTTAACATTTTAGGACACTTTATATATATTTTGAGTAATTCACTGCTTTCTTATGAAACAAAACATAATCCTAAAAACTAAATAAGGAAAAAAAGAATCAAAAGCGTCACTTCAGGTACTAACTAAGTTGAGTGATGTCAAATGTCATTAAGACAAATGAAGGGAAAAAGCTTCCTGTAGTGCAAGGTCTTACTCCATTAGTCGACTAATACTTATCGATGTTTTTTATCGATAATTAATGATGAGTTGTATTGTGGAGATTAAGACCACTTGTCAGCGTTTGGGCGTGTCTTTTTATATTAATTCATTTGCAAAGAGTTTTTTTATTATTTTATAATATTCAATATGTCTCTATAGTACGTTTGTAAATATAATATATTTTACCTTTTATTACGTATCGGTGTTTTATGGATGAATTTGGGAGGTCTGGCATTGACATAAAATAATGATAAAGCTATGTCAGATTACAGCTACTTTTATAAATAACAGCGTTGTCAGTAAAAAAGAATAAAAGACAGGGAACTATATAATTATATTGTATAGAGTGTGTTCTCGTATCAATAAATTTTCTAACAAACGATGGCACGCAAAAATTGACAACTCAAAACACTACAAACATTCTATTATAAGTTCCGAATCCGAATATCTGCGTCACGTTTCTTATCATCATTAATTCATCGTATCTTTTATATTATTAAAAACATAATTCACAACCTACACACATAAAATCTATATCATTATTTAAAACACATTTACTGTCATACGCGACATTTTACCTATTAGTCATTTGTCGAGATTAGCGATAAAACATCGACTACCGGATTTCGTGGTGTCACCTCACTATGCATTCTTTGTAACATCTAATAAAGCTTTTAGTGGGCACTTTATTACCGTGGTAATGACCTGGATGGTCTGACACCTGGCCAAACACTTGATACTTTAAGACCTAGACTTCTGAAGAGTAGGTAGGTATGTAGGTAGGTACTATTTTATATGTTTTGAAGTTTGTATAATTATATTTCTGAGAATTATTCTAGATGTTTAGGTATTTATTAATATCAGAGATTTTATCAGGTGTATTATTTATTTTTTATTTAGTGAGTCCATTTACACCTTACTGTTTTATATGATGCTTTATTTTGATTATTAAACTGTCAAACACCAAGCGGTCACCGGTGACCACAACCTATTGTTCTTTAATTGTGTCTATAAATACGGTACTCGACGAGTTAAGTAAGATTCAACAATCAGGGAAATATCCATTTTGATTTAATGAGCTGTCGTATTTGGATTAAAAATTGATAATTCTAAACAATGATAAGGTGTTGTAGCTCTGTATTAGCGACAAGTGGTTAACTTGATGTTCCATTAAGTATTTCGTGTTTAAGTCTCATTTAATAATACTTTTTTCTGATATAAACTGGTTTAAACTATCTACAAGTACATATAATTAGTTAAAATCATTTACAAGAGACCACCAGTCTTGTCTGTAACCGGAGTCGCGCTATCGTAATGTAATTGAGTGGCGGCGATAAAGCGGACATGCGCGTGCGCTGGAACGGAAGCTACGGCGTCAATTTTATATTATATAGATATAGGTATTATATGAAACTTATGACTGAAGGATTGTGGTGGTCTAGGTAGAATAAACTGTGTTAAAATTTAAGAATGAGAAAATAATGCAATATTGATTGCAGTAATGGTTATTATAGCCTGATGAAAGACGATCATCAAACGGAATTAAATATTCAAATAGTTCTTAAATAAACCTCAAATATCTTAATTAATGGTTAATTGCTGTAACTAAATTTTTTTCTTAAAAAACTAAAAATCTTTTCTAAAAAATCTTCTCAAATCTTATGTATCTGATTTATCATCATCACAGATACGAGCAAAAATATCAGTTACTGATCGAAAAAACAAAATATGCACAGATCAATCAAAAGGACATAAAAATGTTTTAGTAAATAAAATATCTTTCATATCACAATATCCTTCTCACAAGAATATTCGTAGAAAACCACCCAGGAAAGTAGGATATCTTTCAATCATTACAAATGGGTACCCATTAACCAAAAATTGAGGTATACAACCTCTTCGAAATGGTTGAATGACAGGAATCAATCAACGTGCACCTTAGACGACATTTTTTTTTTAATTTCAGGGTTATGCCACTTTGCGTAAAAGATCGTCCATTTAGTTAAAACCTTTTTTTTAAAGTGACATGACGTTCTAATTTAGAAAATGTATTGTGGTCATTCATTTCTTTTTTTTTGGCGTACATTTTAATATATTTTGATTTTCGGTTGACGAATCAGGTAAAATTGTAAGGTATTTTATTTGTAATTTATTTATTTATTTTTATTTGGATAACCAATAGCTATTTTACAAATAATTAATTATTGATAGGATGCAATCAGTAGGTATTTAAGATATCAAGTTCTTAACTGGGAAAGAATTTATAAGAAACGCTGCAGTTGAAACCTAAAGGTTCATCAAAAAACAAATAGAACAATTTTTTAATAAAGAATTTCAATGTGAATAGATATATTAAACCTTGTCTCATTTAGAGAGCATTTAATTTTCATTAACCACGAACACATACCAATTAAACAATAAATCAATTACAAAAAAAAACTTCAAAAATCATCCAAAAGGAATTTCTTTACAAGTCACAAGCATTCCAAACTAATATCAAACTATGAAATAGATCATTCATTAATATCAACAGATCATTAGGGAGTTAATGATGGCGATCTAATTAATGACATGCGCAGGAGTGGACCACCGCGTCATAACAAGCATGATCGATTGGATCATTATAACTTGAACTTTTTTTTTGTGTTTTTTTTTTTTGGTATCTGTGTTGGTATGAGAGCTTCTGGGTATAATTTTGAGTGTAGATTACTTGGTGTAGGTAGGCAGTAGTAGGTGGTGTGGTTGTGGGTCTTAAGTTTGGTTTTTCGGACATGGAACAGGTGGTGCTTGGAGTTTTGTCATCATTAGCAGAGCAAAATCTGTTTAAGAAGACAGCTGAAGCTATTAAGTTCGATTGACATGCGATCATTTTTACGTGTATTGAAGGGTTGACAGAGTTATAAGTAGTCTAATCAAAAAAGCGGCAAAGGTCTTTTTTTTAAGGGAGGGAAATCATCGAATGACTTCTCCCGCCTGGGTGAGTCGGGAGGGAGTGTCAGACTCTTACTGACTAAAAACCACCCCATTCCTTCTCCTGCACGTCGAGCCGGAGCCCCGGTAACCCTTTAGGTTCTCCGCGAAGGGGCAAAGGTCTGAAACTCTGACCTGTCAGTATAATACGTTTCAATAGAAAACTTTTTTGTTGTCACGACGTAACAATACACATACACAAGCAAAAATACATGGTTGTGTTCGGATTGCGAATAAGGCGTTTAAAATCATACAATGTCCAGTTATGACATTTAATATTCAAAACCAGGGACCGCTACAATCTGCGACCAAAAATCAAACGCCCCCAATCAATCGTTGAACCCGTACTAGTACAACAAACAGCCGATAGATGGCAGCATCGATTTTTTTGCGCCGACGGATGTCGAAGAGCATGCGATGCATTCTAAATTTATATCCCCCCTCCCTTTCTACTCGTAGCTTTATTATCCCCGTCTCTTTCTAGCAAAATATTTTTTTTTGCATTTCGATTCCAAGTGCGTGGTCAATTTTGTCGTTTTTTTTTTAAAGTCTTGTCTCATAGTCTCTGGACAGTGGCCGGTTCGTTTTATTGTCGTGCGTATGTAGACTTTTATTTCGGATCGCGATACAGGGTCATGTTGAAATTATTGGCTGAATTTAAATCATACGGTCCGTGGCCGTTCAGGTAAAAGTATGTACTGTTCGGGCCTGATACGATTGCCGATTGTGGATTATTATACTTTTATTGGCTGTAAACTGTTTAACTTGGGCTTTAGGAGTTAATTTATCACATTTCTTAATTATGGATTAAAAAATAAATAGTGAAAATATTTGCTTTACAATAATCAATTGCCGATTAATATAGTTCCGTACATGAAACAGTGTCTCTTTTGGACTCCAGGTCTGTATGTATCAAACTGTATTATGATAATTTATTTGGAAGAGACTGCTTGTTTCCTGAATTTAGAAAATAAAAAGATAAAACGACATCATTGAATGAGATCAGTAATCAATACAAGAGGAGACTTCTTAGAATGATTTAAGGACACTCCAAATTGAGGAGACATAAGAAAAACAGACTCACAATCATCTAATCCCCCAACATACAGTATAATAGTAAAGACTAAACCTGACTACTTTTCTATCAAGATCACCAATTTCTTGAAAACAGTTTCGGCATAACTCAAAGGTCTACACAAATGTCCAGCTATCCAACAAACGGAAGCCTGTAAGCCCTCAGGTCTCCGATGTGTCTGCCAAAGGTATTTTTTACCCTGAATTCTGAGAAACGTCGCGAAATAAAACAGCAATGCTGCCGAAATGCATAAACCGACGCTTTATTCGGCTGAGCTATGTTGGCGGAAACGAAAGGTTTTGGAGAGGGTCCAAGATGTACATGGAAGCGAAAAGGTTCAGAGATTGTAGGCCTGGTAAAAAAAAAAAAATAATAATTTCAGTAAGAGTAATGTTCATCCGAGATTGATTAAGGTAGGCAGGCATCTAGATTTTTATAGAGATTAAAGTATAAATTAAAGATTAAAGAAAATAAACACAAATATACAAGTTTACAAAGGTCATGTAGGTAAATGTGTTACTGTCAATGAAAATCGAATAAAAAATTAACAGATTAAAATGAACTGCGAATCATCTAAACAATATAGAAGATTTAGATGTGCTGTTGGGGGTTGTTTATTTCTGCTAAGTAATGAAAGTATACCAGACATAACAACATAATTGTTATCTAAACAATCTTAAATTTATTGATAATTAAATGACAAAGTCCATACAATAACGACCAAAAATAATCCCTTCAAAGTTCAAGAAATCCGCTATCATCCTCAACCTTAGACCGTCCACACAAACCGAAGCGTACGTATGTATGTTCATACTTCAGTATGTAATAAACTTTAGTATCTCGTAGGAATAGCTGGCCAACGGCGACGCATTGTGCGTGCAGTACTGAACGCATCGACAACGCCTCTCAGACCGACTTTATAATCTATTTTATGTATTGAAAGCTATGATTTGAACGTAAAACATGTAAAACCAACAGTTTCTAGAATTCCTTGTACGGAATGCTTTGAGTGTTTTCTTATTCGTGTTTGTTGGGAAGTATGTGTATATAATTTTAAGGCATATTTCGTTCTTGTCATTTTCTACCAAAAGATTATGATTAGAGTACAAAATGCATGATTTTTCTTATAATTGGAATGAAGTAAAGAACTGATTGCCTCGTTGGCCGAGTGATCGCAAGTGCGACTGCTGGGCAGGGGGTTTCAGGTTCGATTCCCGGGTCGGGCAAAGTACTACTGGGTATTTTATAAATTCTCAGTAGTAGCACGGAGTCTGGAATTGTGCCCGGTATGGCAATAGGCTCACCCCCTATTATATGGGACTCATAACATCAATAGTGAAAAGTCGGTGTTACATTGTATAGAGGCATAATGTACACCTCTGCTTACCCCTTTGGGGAAAAAGGCGTGATGTTATGTATGTATGTATGTAAAGAAATGAAAAGCCTGCGTCATTATTCTATGATTGAAAATGTTATTCGCCAGTAGTTTGATAATTATTGTAGTATTATCCTAATTCCTAAGTGTACGAATACGTTTCTGTCGTTGTCTGGTGATCCCCATCCTCTTCTGATTGTCTACTTTGGTCTTTGGGGACATACATTTCTACCCGATGCTCTTTACAAATGCACGACACTTAAAACCTAAAAAGCCTCACTTCCAGTAACCATAAACATTTCCATAGCCGAAAGGAATACTAAAAGATGGTTTCACAGACAGTTTTATTACATGTATTAAACAGCAATCAATAGCTAGAACAATATTCGCATTACAGACACATCTACGGGACCTATAAGGAATATATTTTTCTAAGCTTCCTGTTTATATCAGAATCCTGACCGACATAATAAATAACCACCATGACAACCATACAAAACACTCACAACTCCATACAAATCCCATTCAAAACAGTTTTCATACAAAATCACAAATTTTCAAAACATCATCTCTAATATTTATTTCTCCTAATTTGACTGCATTTCTCGGTTACAAGTCGTACTCATTAATCATATAGCTGTCTCGCTCTAACTTATGATGTTTGTGTATTGTTGTCTCGTTCTAGCGCGTTAAGATGCGATGCGCGTACGCAAGCGGCCAGCTCGCGCGTGCCGAGACACAGTTGTTTTTTTCGATTACAAGAAAAAGCATAAAATGAAGTGATTGTTAAAGGTTTGAACTATTGGATTAGTTTCCGTTCCATCAGGCCCACTGGCGTGGATCATCTACTGATTATAAGGAGCCACTCTATTGAATTCATTTTTTTTCCTAAATAACAAGTGTAAGTAGTGCTCTCAGCTGATGGAGTTAATATAGTAGGTACTATGTCTTTTTGATATCAAATCCAATAATTCTCTTGGACTCGTATACCTACATACCAAAATGTAACGTCACATCATTCATTTCCGAAAGGTTTTTAATCTAAAATATTTGCTCTAGATACAAATACACAGCTTAGCAAACTTTATCTCTTATGTATATGTCTATCAATAATATAATAGTCCAGAGTTTGGAACGACGCGTGACCAATTTTATGTCAACATGTGTTACCCAAGAGATTCAAAGTACTAATGGTAAACTTATATTGATACAACTCTAGAACCTACTTTTTCTGGACTGCTTCGAATCTGGTTCATTTAACCCTAACAGACAATGATGGCCAGCACCACAATATTTATAGTAACATAAATTTATGGAATTTGTATGACACTATAAATATTGTAGTAGTTATAAATATTTCCTTAAAAAAATACCTTTTATAAAGTTTACTCGCCATACCTAACATTTGAGTAAAAACCTTACTGCTATCCACTAAATGAGACTCAAAAAATTATTCGCAAAAATTACCTACAAATTGCAACCTTCTCCCCCAAGGAATAGAGGCGTGCCGTTATATACTATATTATACACATAATAAAATATACGTTACATATTTTCGTTTGTCACTTTGAAGGTTAAGTAAGGGCAGCTTCCCACTGCACGTGCTCATTAGACGCGCGGGTATTCGCGCCGCGTGTGTCGCTCGGTCACGTCGCTAGCACGCGCCGACGCTTGCGTCCATTGTTGTTCGTCGTACGACACGATATTATCTGTGGTTGTTCGTACAACAGTTTGTGGGGTAAAACTGTGTTATTATTATGTTGTTGTTGTTAGTTTAGTGGTGTTTGCATACACTTGTAGTTGGTATAGTGTCGTGTTGAAGATAGGCTTTGATTTTCGTTTAAATAGAAAATTTTGATTTGAATAATTCTATTAATTTAGATTTTCTGGTTCGCAAAGTATACGAGTTTCAAGACTGTTTAGAGGCCAGCATCATGTTTTTCTCATCATAGGATTTAACTTAGTCGCATGCGACTGCAGAAGCCCGTATCTAAAAGTTTATATGGCTACATATAGGCCGATGATGTGTTTTTTTTTCAAATAGCCTTTTTGTTCTCTAGTACAATGGACACGTATACCCCACAGCGGCATTGCACAGGTTTGTGCTAACTCCTAAAGGTTATTATTATTATAGGCGCGACAACGTGGAGGCTCTATTCGCCGAACCGCGCGTCTCCGCGGCAGGAAGCCGCGTCACGTGGGATGGGTACTCATTGATACATAAATAGTATTTCGATAGTTTTTTTATTGAACCTTTATTTGGAATTTTAGAATGGAATGTTTATTGTGATTGATTGGTTTCGTATGTTAATGTGGTTTGTTGTTACCAGTGATAATTATGTTGAACATTGTATTTATGTAAAAATAATTAAGAATATGTAATCTTACTTAAGAATACAAGATGATATTAAGTAGAATAAGTTACAAAAATTATTTTCCGTAACTGTGAGTTATGTGTTAAATATAAAATTTTCGGTATAATGACTATTTTTGTGTAATGTAATTATCTTGATAATACTGCTATAGATTCATAGAAAATAATATATTTTTATGTTACCCAAAACTTATGACAGTTTAAACAGAAATAAAAACATGTCTATGGGTTGTTAGATAAAAATATTGCTTACAACTACGAACGCGTTGATGTCTTTTATTTGACCCGTTTCTATAATTTGATGAGTGCCCAAAATGTATACGAGAAGCCCAGATCTGTTTCATCTGTTGCACAAAAATATCAACTAGGGGACTTATTAGACATTTGTATTATATTTATGAGGTATATTTTAGTGACTTTCGCAATATGTTTGTAATAATCAAAAAAGATGTAGGTTGCATAATTAAAACATATATACGTTGTGTTTATATAAAAATATTCTGTGGAAAATCAACTCATGTTAGTAAAATCATATTTGCAATTACTTCAAAATACCACCTAACTGAATTCACAAACGAAATTTTACTATTACAAGCAAAACTCCCTTTGACCATTCTCAGCGAAAAAATCAAACCCAACCATTGTAGAGGTACACTAGACACACACCAAGAAGACACACACCAAGAACTTCATATCCTAGCTACATAAACCCTTTTACAATTCAATCCTCAATATTAGCAGTACCAGCGACTACTGTCTGGTCGGCTCCACAAAGCCGGCGGGCGGTGCGCCTGCGCACGTCGGTCGCACGAGACGCATTAGCATGCGCGCTACATGTCACACCGCTAACGGTAGCCACCTTACGCTAAACTGTACGATCCAGTGGTTAATAGCTTAGTTTAGGCTTTTATATCGGAGTTATTGGGCACATTATGAGAAAAGAGAATTTTAAGGGATTGCGTTTAAAAAAAGATGATATTAAGTTAATAGTTGGCTCAGAAGTTAAAAGGAGTATTGATGTTGTTACCACATGACAATTCAGCTGTGTTGTGTTGTTTATGAAATTTGTGATCACTAGAACGGCTTATGCCATTTTTTTTAAGGGCCGAAAATCATTGAATGACTGCTCCCGCCTGGGTGAGGCGGGAGGGAGTGTCAGACTCTTACTGACTAAAAACCACCCCGTTCCTTCTCCTGCACGTCGAGCCGGAGCCCCGGTTACCCGTTAGGTTCTCCGCGACGGCTTATTCCATTTAGTTCAGAGATATTGTCTTAACTAAAGGGGTCATTGCTATTATGTTCTAGGATATGATCCAGGTTAGTGTGAGTTTAGTCTCAAACAAACTGGACACAGGTCACTGTCTGTGAAGTCGACCTTAAATATTTTTAACACATTAAACGCCATGGGGTCACCGGTGACCGATGTTAGCGGAGGATTTGCCTTCAACAGTTTTTTATTGGCAGTCAAAGCCTTAATTAGCTTTCATGTTCAGAGATAACCAATGGGTGACGTCACTCATAATTTCAGGTCTACAAACAAAAATCTTTTATAACTGCACAAGTTCGCCCTGTCAATACGCTTTGCCTATAAAAGTGAATAATATTTTGACAGAGCGCCTCCGACTCATATATAATTCATGTAGACAGGTGGCGGTGCAGTCACGACCCATAGACAACGATGCTGAATTTTCTACTACCGGGAAATTGGTTACACAGACTAAAAACATTCATTCTATTCGATATCGACAGATTTGTTTGGGAATTGTTTGAAGTAGGTTCTATATGTGTGTGAAGGTGGTTTTTGGTTCCTTTTATGACGGATAAGAAATTCGTATGATTTGTTTCGTTTCGGTGACTAATGTTTAGCAACATATGATTACTTCTCATCTCAATTTAAGAACTCAATCTTGCAGTAAAATCTGTGATTTTCCTTGTCAATCCCAAACCTAATTCCATAAATTAAAATGACCCATCGAATCATCCCTCCACCTTATTTCTCACAGTCCAGATGTTCCCATACATCATATTATAATATAAAGTCAACGACCCTAAAAATTCCACAATTCCAAACAAAATTACAGGGGCCACAAGCGTTCGTCGCCCAAATGACACGCCCGTGACGGCCAAATGACATAATTGTCAAAATAGTCACTGCACTGACAGCCGCACGTGACATCCACACCAGACAGAGACAAACATACATAAATCCCCCAAGATGAACTGAGACAGAAAATGGCGCGTCGGTGTCAATTATAGGCGGGGAAAGAGAATTAGAGAGGAGAACATGCCGGTTTCAAATTTGGAACCGTTTTGTTTTAAATCGATAAATTGTTCGATTTCGTGTTTGATTGCGTGTGGTCGATATTTCTAAGAATAATTGAATATCAATATTAAGTTATGATTCTATACTATTATAATGATTACCGTCGAGTGAATGGATTCTGATTCATTCATCGCTCCAATGCGAAAATACTTCACGGTGATATTTCATAATAAAGAGCATTCTATTAAGCGACATTATTATTAAATACGGGCCACAATTTTATGTGCACATTTATTAGTGTGGTATAAGAAAAATCGGTCATATATTTGCGGGTCGCAGTCCTGCCCTTTCGACGCCTGTCGTGCATAAAGTCCGTGATCATTTCTCCTAATTATACGTGTGGCGAAGAGGGCAGGGACTTTTGGTTCGATGTGGGTGTTCGAAATATGAAATTACGAGTTGGCGCGAACGTGTGACAATGTTTTCTTTTTTAATAATAAATGGAGACATTGATTGCTGTTATTATGCCTAATGTGCCTACGTATGAACTATAAAGTTTTTTAATAACCAAAGAGGTTGGGTGCTTTGATTTTTTTGAATGAAATTCACAATGATAAACGGGGAATATTTATGGGTTTTGAAATAAAGTGTAAAGTAAGGAGATGTCACGCATTCAACGGTGTGTCGTGAAAGGGGGATAATTTTATTTATCGCTTTATAATGAGCATGTTTACACACAGTGTTAAAACCGGAGCCATTTATTTTGTAATATAAATAATCTGAATCATTTTGAAAGGTGACGATAATGTATTTTATTTTCCGTTTAAATATTTTAGTGAATTTTGAATTTGGAAGTGCAAAATGTTGTGAACGTTGATTAAAATATTGTCTTGTACATATTTTAAGATCGACATACTTTTTTGATTGCGGTCCTCTGTATTGTCTCGAAATGAGAATAATACAACTTCCTCACTTTTTTGAAAATCACCACCGAGATGTTTTAATCTATTTTTCAGAATTTGAATATTACTTTTACCTACTTCCAAAAAGCCTGAACTTAAATCATTTTACATACAACTAAATAAGTTTTCATTTGACTAATAGCTTGTAAAGTAAATGAGTACTAATGCAGTGCGGATGTATGTTTCATCCACGGTTCAATTCTTGCTTAAATAGAGCCCCAAGGTGTGTGAACTGACGTCAAAATACACGTCTAATGAACTTCGCATCAGTCTGGAACATTTGTATGAACACACTACTAAGACTGATCAAACGTTTTGGAACTTTATCGTTTTATAATAAGGTTGGAAATCAATTGAAGAGTTATGTCATTTTTGGATAGTTTGATAATTATGCTGTTTTTTAGGAAAAAGCGATTGAAGAAGG